ATAAAGTTTTAGCACGATTATCAAACATTTATCTGGTCCAGTCAGACTACAAGCCCAGATTAAACTCACGTGACCCCTATAGTTTGGGGTTAGACACAACGCATCGTGTGATCATGCATTTGAATCAGTACGATTTTCGAATCACGCATACTGACAGGATTTGACTAAGCAAAAAATCTCCGGGTTAGAATCCCTGGAAAAATTCGGTTTTAGCTTGGGCAATATGGGGCCTACGAATAAATGATAGATTGACATTTTGTCATACAGATCTGTGTATCGTCATCACCTGTTAAGAAACAGCCATTTTTACCATAGTTACATTGTTGTTTCTCATTTTAATGTGGCGTCTCAACTCCGATCGATACGCTGCACAGGTTGAAAAGATACCTGATTAACGCCATCAGTCTATTAGTAAACATGAGGGTATTGTTTGGAAAGTTATCGGAATAGGAAATGAAAGGAAGTGAATAAGTGTTTTATGAAGGAAGGAACTTGGGAGTATTTATAGAACAGATCAACCATGAATTCGATTTTGATATATCATTGCAGAATGAAAAAAAAAATTATACAAAAATAGCCACGTACGTGAGTTAGCCAGATAAAGGGGACAGTATCACAATAGCACACAACAGTTGAGATTGTGTAAAATAGCTGATCACACATAAGACACAAATTGCACGAGACCTGGATACTCTCGGGTTAAGCAGAGCTGAATGCTACCAGGCACGTCAGCAGGTTACGGATAGGGGGAGACCTACACAGAAGAAGTGCAGCTGTGAATAATTTGTAGCATACCACAACAAATAAGCAGTCGCGAACAAACAGCGGCGGTACTACCAGGGTGTGGTGGGTTTCAGGCTGGTCAACTGGTTCCTGTTTAAAATCCGCATAAGCCCAATGACGGTGTCGTGACAAAGGTCAATGTGACTGGCCTTTTAAAACTAAAGCTATTGTCCCACTCACCTCGGAGACGAGGGATTACTTCCTGTTGCCTTGCAGTTCGCAAGTGGTTGCGCAAAGGCTAAATGTGCATCCTCTTGCTAAAAAACGCCGAGTGACGCTGGGGAAGTCTCTCGTACCAAACTGCCAAGGAACATGAAGATACTGATCATGTCTGGAGCCGGTTTATGGTTTCCGAGGAGCCAGCCGCAGTAAAGTAAGTAAGTAAACGCCGAAGTACCCATCAGTGAGAGATTACATGCAGTGATCTGATCGATCGGCTACACTTTAAACTGAGCATAAGACTGGATTTTATGACGCTACAACAAAAAGAAATGTTGAACTATTGTGATGGATAACTTACAGATTGTTTGAATTCATCGAGTCCATCATCGAGGAGGAGATATTCGATTCTGTGCTAGGCAACCGATAGAGATTCGGAGAGAGCACGATAGACAAATTATCCGGAGTCATCTTGTTCACAGCCGAGAAGGAAGCAACTTTGTGCAAGAAAAGACAAAGGTAGGCCAAATTGTGACGGAAATTCGCGGGCATCTCACGTACGCATGATTCGACCAATTCCAAGGAACCGGAACCGGATCTGAAAATGAGAAGCCACAACAAGGAGAAGGTATGAATAGGGGAAGAAAGAATGGTCATCGTCGAACAAAAACCGTCATTGATCACTGTCACACACATTCGAAGCATTTACGAATGTGAGGGGAAAATAAAGTGGACCGGTATCAGGGGAAAGTGAAAGAGAAAGAGTGTGTGTGTGTGTATTCAGATCGCTTCAAGCATTCTGGCCAGAGCGTGAACTCTTTCGGTGTATTTTAATAACTAGTTATGTACGGTGCGAATTCTCCATCGTTTCACATCGTCTTGTCCCTCTCACCCGTGCCCTGAAACAAATAAATTCCCTCTGACTCTTTCTGTGATCTAATTGGATCATATTCTGCGATTTGCGGCACTTGGAATCCCTCAATCCAACACGAGACTGTCTGATTACCGGCTTGTACTTGTTGTGATGATCTTATTTTTTTATTGATTTGAGCTGACTATCCTTCAGACTTCACCTTCACGCACAATCCTCAGTTCATCGATTCACGGCAGTAAACAATGTGTGGTTTCTCGCTCGGGTTAGTTGGGCAAGCACTAGATCGTTTGTTGCGGCTGAACCACCCGACCGATCGATCAATGAACCCGATCAGTCGTGTGATTTTTGGGTCCGCATAGGAGACCGGTAGGTTTCGAATCCGATGCTCTTCAAGTGCTGATAGGGAATCACCAAAAGAGAATCAGTTGTGGAACAAGGCGGTGTAGTTATCTGACAGACACGTCTGAGTTCAGATATGCAAGACAAACAAATCGCAGTAAAGTAAGATTTATATAAAAATAACAGTTACAGAATATTGTAGACAACGATCTGGAGGATGATTTATTCGCTATATCAAATCTCCCCGAGCAGCTGTTTAATTTTCATTTCACATTGTTTGCTGACCCACTATGTATCTACTACTATGCTGTAGCGAAAACTGTAAACAAAAAGCGGAGCGCGGGAAAACTTTTTATACAAGTTTCACGTTGACCACATTGGGTACTTCGCTACTCAGGTTATGAATATAGGCATCTTCCTAAAACAATCATGACTGTTCAGAAGGTAAAAAAAAGTCCCGTTTTTTTGAACTCTGCTTTTTCATTACACACCTAAGTGTGTTGAACCCCATGGTCAAGTGGACCTGCTGTTGAGTGACGGTAACCGTCAACTTGAGCCCCGGGACTTCGGGTGGCGAACCGCATAAGGTCCCGATAGGTTAGGCGTTGTATGGACCCGGACGACAGCAGAGCTGCCTACC